TTTGCCGCAAAGACCCAATGTAACCTTAACCCTAACCTTACCTCACGGGAATATAACCTCCTCGTCATTTGTTTGCTTGCATTATGTAATATCGTATGCATTCTATTGCGAGGATGATTATGGGCTAGCGTCGTCATATAATTATTCAAGACATGAAAAAATTTCTACTTTGAAGGAGAATAAATTTCAGTGTATGTCCTCCAAGTTTTTTCCCCAAACGCCTGGATATTTTCAAATGTTTCTAGTTGATTTTGTGTCGGATTAAAGTAAAAACCCGCCGACGCGTCCGTATAAAAGATCATGGCCGATTTATTTCTGATGCCGATTGCGCGTACACTATGTCATCTTTAACGTCTTCGGATTTGAAGCACCCATAAAGCAAATGTTGTTTTATCTACCTGATCGTATTCAAGAAATTCCGTCAAATTGACATATTTTTTATTAAAAAAATCTCTAGGTGTCCATAAGAATATCGTGCTGTCATTATACACGTATTTGTTTCGTATACTATCAATATTTTGGACAAGTTTGAAGAATTGGTTTTCGCGAGTTCCTCCCGTGTCATTTCCAACGATTCTTATTTCAAACAGAGATAAAAAATTGGTATACTTCTAAGATTCGGATTTAAATTATCCAAGAACAATTGTCTTTATTGTCGCTTGTTACGCTCAGCATTGCTTCGCAGTATTACCAAATAGTTTATGTATCTTGTTCATAATTGAAGACTGATTAAGAATATATTGCCATTCTCTTTTCCCATCCCCTATTCGCACTTGAATCCAATTTCTGATAATTTTTTTCCGAGAATATATTATGCAACGGTTTTTTATTATTAGTTTTGCACCAAGTGAGATACTCGTGATACAACTTCACGCAATTAGATTTGGAAACGTTCTCAGACCATAATGAAATGTATCCAATTGTAATTGGGATAGACTGGAGATAATTGCTGGATATTATTTATTTGCAGAGAAAGCCACTTGCGTGGCCTCCTTCATCAGCTGTATAATATTTGTCATCGGAACTTAGATGCAAAAGCATCCTCGCGGCGGAGTCTCACGCTTGCTTTTGACGTCTCATATCAATCATATTTTTCATGCCTTCAATTAATGTCAGAATATGTGGACTTGTTTGTCACCGTGAAAAATTTTGTCTTCATGAAAAAAATTTTCATAGTGACGTTCACGGGGACACTTTTTCTATGAATTTTGGGCGCTTTAAGCCGTTCTTGATTATTTTTTTACATTTGTCACTATTGTCACTATAAAATAAAACTTCTAGGGGAAAAAAAACGAAACTTTTTTCTATATTATCTACCGACATACACATATACAATATATGCTATATATACCACTCGCGAAGCGAGGATGCTCCTACATCTAAATAAAAAAAAAAGAAAAAAAGTAAAGAAGTTTGATTTTCATAGAGACTCGATGATACTCATCTAGAAAGGACTCCAGCGTTCTAAAAACTAGTTAACTTTGTCACTATGAAATTTTTTGTTACCATAAAATCGATAACGACAAATTTTTACGTATAAAGTTTGCCATATCCATTTTCTATCTGATAAAACCAGTATTTGCTTTAATCCCATTTTGCGCCATATTCTCCAGTTTTTTTCGTTGATAATAATCTTTAAACCGGAATGATCTCTACATGTACGAAACATAGAGAATGTCAACTTACCACATTCTTTACAAGGTACGCGCGTAGGAGCCTTCAATGAATTTTACACCCCTCAGGTCTATAACAGCTTTTATTGCAAATTTCCCCAGTCCGCAGAATATAAGGATAACAATAAAATCCCATATTAGCTTTGCTAGTTCGCTAATTAATTTTTGATACACGTATTCTGTATCTAACACTAATGTTTCTAATAATGATTTTTATTTAAAAAATCGTGAGTTCACTTGCAATGGATACCCAAAATACTACCGAAACGCAAAACAGTGTCTGCGGAACAGGAAGCTTTGCTTCTGTCTCTGAACTCGAAATAATGGCCGAAAATGTAGTTGAGTACATATTAATATATATAATTTGCGATGATTCTGTACAGCCAAGAGAATTTCTTGTTACAGATAATGAAGATGGAATGGAAGCTATACTGTCAAATCGTGGAGGACACTCATTGCATAAATTTATTGATGGAGATGACCCACTTTGCCCAATTATAGATTTCGATCTGCTCCAAGAAACACTAAATAGTATCGAACCCAAACTTATACGTAAAGGGTGTATACTCTTCTTTTGCCATGCCTTTAAAGAAGTATGCTTAGTGGTGTACCTAGATTGGGATAATCTTATCTTGGCTATTGCTGAGAGTAGTGATCCGAAAAAAATGTCTCCCCATATCTCAACTTTTGGCATAATACTTAAAGATATTATTATTATGGCCTGTGCTTTATTCACTGAGCTCGTACGTAATAAACTCCCTCCATCACTCAGAATAAGAATATGCTTGACAATATTGCTAACAAAAAATCATTCTCCTTGCGCATGTTGCGTTCTCCAAAAATAGATAAAGATTCTGGTGAACATATACGAATAAAGAAAGCATTATACCCAAAAGAGATTACTATCTTTGATTTCATGATCCGTCCTCCCAACGATGAATCGCCAGTCATAGAAAGCCCTCTTTTATTTGTTCAAGGGTTGGAATCAGTAAAAATTCGTAACACAGATAGTGAAACCACTGAAGCCGAATTCAAGAATACTTGATATTAGTTATTTCAAGTCCTGATTTATCGCACTTTTAAAATTTATAATTATAGAAACCCCTGAAATTTTGTACACACACAGTCACTCGACTGCGAAATTTTTCGAAAACTCAACCAAGTCTCTATAAACTTCTGCGATTATTTGCCGGCACTTAACGCTTTACAGCTTCCTGTACAGCTTCGGTTACTCTTTTGGTAAGTACGAGGTTAGCTTTTATAGAGAAAAGGTTTTCGATTACTGGCGATTATTGGACGATTACTGGCAATTACTGACAATTGTTGGGCGTTACTAGGCAAACGCTAACGAAAGTTGTCATCATTTAGCTGTTGTATAGCAATATTGGCAATTTTATTGGGCACAACATGGTCAAGGATGTTAGTGAAGATTTACGTTGAAGGATAGTTTATCTTCATTCTGATGGCTTCTTTCGTAAACGGATTTGCCGTTAATTGCATGTTAGTCGGACCACAGTTTGAATGTTGGGGAATCCTTCAAGGGGATGCGTGGACGTAGAAAGATTCTTGATCGTAACGATATGGCATCATTCGGAAAAAGGTTTGTATGTTACAACTAAGTGAGAGATAGAAAATCTCACTAATAAACTTTCTTGTAGTTACATAAAGTCGCTATGGAAAGGAATGAATTGCTTTTATCACTAAAATTGGAGAATCATATTCACTCGAGCAACTCTTATTCCTTGATGAGAGCGCGAAGGATGTTATTCGTAACTTTCTCTCTTTTACAATTACAATTCTCAAAATAAACAAGCATAGCATAAAGCTGTACATATGTAGTATATTTCCTGGGTTCGATTTGTTTGATACTATTTTTTATTATGATAATCTATGCATTCTGATTGGCCAATTAATGTTTTTTCGAAAATTTTCGTTTGTGTATGTGCAAAATGCAGACAATTCTGCAGGAAGATCGTTCGGTTGAGATATTAATACATTAAATAAGGCATCTAGGGTTGGATTATTATTTATTGATCATATGCTGGCTACGGAATAACATGATGTGTGACGTAAACTCTAAAATCCGCTATATTTACCTAATATCTATGAGGACGTGATGAAACGGTTTAACATTACGGGGTGGGTGTGTATTAGCTTGTTCTAACGCTTGTATTAACAAGCTTTTATTCACGATCATAATATTTCTCAAGGTTAATAACAAACGGATTTTATGTGCAAACTATGTGGTGTTATAACGAAATTTCAGAATGGTCGAGATGGAAATATCTTGGTATTCCACCCAAGTCTTGACGTAGAATTATAGTAGACTCTTATTTTTTAATGCATCCTTTTTCCAGATTAACTCGAACCTTTTTTCAATATCTTGAAATCTTCTGCAGACCATATCTCACCATTCTGCATTCGACCATCATCATTTTCTCTATTGTTTCTCTTGAAGTTCAGAAAAAGAACCATTTTTATTTTGCTTCCTGCTTGCCACTTGTAGTTTACGTTTACTAGGACGAGGCACTTATGGACAATATCAGCAAATTGTCAATAAGTATCGCGAGGAACTTTTATTCACAAGCAAATTGTCAATAAGATACTTTTAATTAAACGGTTTGTGCTATCATATGATATTAAATTCTTGAATTTTATTGGGCAGTTTATTCATTACATTGCATCGAAGAAATTGATAGAGTTGGTGCACCATATCTATCAAACGAAACTTTTGCCGCAGTTGTTGGAAAGTATTTACTTTTTTCCCGAAGGTTCCAGCACATGTTCAAGAAAATTACGTAATATTAGACCCCCTTGACAACCTTTACATAAGGATAGCGTTAAATTTTTTAGAAGTACGCGTGCGCGTGTGATGTTAAAGTGACATCAACATGATATGCACTATCTTATCTATCTATCTTGTCTTCCGCCTTTCACCTATTTATGGAAGCATTAACCGAAGAAGCAAGAATTTTTAAGTACGCCCACCAAACTTTCACTTGCTAAAAAAATAGTTCGCTCCATTTGTGTATAACCTTTAAAAAGTATATATAGGTGGTTACAAGAACTCAGACAGGCAGAACAAAACTGTTACCAGTGGTTAGAAGAGTTATATGAATCATGAATGAGAGTCCTAATTGCAGACTTTATTTACCCTTTCAAGTACTTTATTGGTTTTTTTGTATGCAAGACGTGCTTGCAAGCCATTCGGCTCTTTATTAAATGCAAAATACATTTATGTAGGTATCAGAAGATAGTGACTCCCTATGGGCCTACAGGGAAAGTGGTGGACCCACCAGGCTTTCGACAGATTCTAATTATCACTGTATGGGACGTAAAGGCACTTCTCTGGACCTATCGCACTCAGACCACATTCAAGACACTAAGGGACGAAGGGAAAATCACATATCTTTCGGAAATGCTGAAACAGCTAGGGAAAATGATAATTATGATGGAACCGAAAAGGACATACCGCGCTCGAACTGTAAACTTAACGTTGAAATACTCACGAGAGAAGGAGAAGATAGTGAACTATATGTTCGGTGCCTCAGTCCGTTGCGGGAAAGCACCAGGCCGGGAGATGCAATCCAACACCAACTCAGCAACAGGGTCGAGAGTGAATGCGGTGAGGGTGCTACAATGGGCCTCAAACATTGCCCTAACTCCGAAACAACGCAAGGATTGCAAGCATCAATTGGGAAATTGTTCCGAATCGGTACCTTGGGAAGCGTTACGTGGACGAAGGAGATCCCCAAGGAACCGTGTCGTCTTGTTCTCCCGCACCCTAATCCTGTCCAGGAAATTGGGACAACCTTTGAAGATCAAGAGTCCGTGTATACTATGTCAAAATGTGGCAAAAATGATGTCTCAGAACAAGGTTGCAACGATTCACTCATGGTTGTAGATACGTTTATAAGTGAGCAAGATCGTCGCCGGATGGCATCTACTTTTGGTTATGATCTTCCCGTTGATAGTCGCGATCCAAAAGAACTTACTGAAGTTACTGATTATATTGAGTGTGTTGCAACATTCGGGTTTAACCATATCATAATCATTGGAGAGATCGATTACGGAATGATTTTTATTGATTGCTATGGTCGTTTATTTCACTGGGAAGATATGTGTCAAAGGTTGTGGCCAAATGAATCAGATGATGGTTTACCATGGTTTGTGGATGATGATGGCGGTGTATACAAGTACAAATCACATTTGCGAAATTATAAAGTTTGAGTTTACTAATTGATTTGCAAATAAAAATTTAACATGATGTGTGTATAATAGGATAGGGTGAATTGGAATGTATTGGTGAGAAAAGGCGAAAGGACAAATTTATTAAACGCTAGTTCCATGAGTTGCATTTGCGCATTCTTCATTTATTCTAACTAAATCATATCCTAATCATAAATTGATACTAACCTGCGCGAAGATTCTAAGTAGTTTGTTCTGTGTAGATGCGATATCGGAATATATATTTAACGAAGCGCTAATAGCGTTATTTACTATGATTCTGGAATCTTCTTTAGATATCCAAGGCTCTTCTTCAATAACCTGGAAAATAACCGAGAAAGCGGTTGTATGCTCCAATGGGGAGACAATGAGAAAGTCATAGACCTTTTGGTATAATTCGCTAGACATATCGATAAATGCAATATACAGTTGACACTGTTTATACCGAACTGCCCGGCTGAAAAGTTTTCGTTCGTTATAACCCGAGTTCGCTGTTACCAGAGATTCGCTATTCCAGAGTTATTAATTATAAAAAATCGGTTCTGGCAATTTTGGCTCGTCATATCCAGAGTTCGGTATAAACAGGTTCGGTATAAACAGTGTCAATTGTATGTAGTTATAATCAGTAAAGAGTGAACGCTAAGCACGCGAGATTCACATGGGAAAGTTTCCGGGTTAATCTTCATGAAATTGGTTCAGTTACAAGAAGATAAAATAAATGAAAAACTCGACGATAAAAAGAACAAGTTAGAGGTTTTTTCTCACAAAGCTGGAGTTAATTATCAACAGATGCGGAAGTTGCAACAAAGATAAACACTCATTTTTGGATGTAATTTTATTTGACGAATAAACATTGTTGGGGTATAATCTGAAAGTAAAGTAAAACGTTGTGAATTTCAACCTTCAACCTTGTATAACATTGTCTATAAATTAAATCAGAAGTCAACAAAACCTTTTCTTTGGTAAATATCTTCAACGAGACATAAACAAGCTGATAAAAATATGTGGACTATAATAAACAACGCGTTTCTTGTTTATTGTGCAAAATACTTTCGATTTTCTGAGGGCCATTTTTTTCGTAACACACTGTATATTTTTATATAGAGATAATCCTATATTAATCCTGTTATAGTTTATATTCATCACATTCTGGTATAATAAAGGGAACATTAAAATTAACAAGTCCATAAGCTATGAATGAGCACCATTATTACTTTTCAAAACGTCATCAGTTACACTGGTCAATTTTACAGTCACAGCACAAACGTTTTTTGAATAAACTTATAATTCGCGGTTTATTTACAGCGTAGTCGAAACAGTACCGCAGCGATCACATGATCAAATCGCTGTTTTACAAAATCGCCGTGTCCTTCAAAAACCATACATCTGTCACGTCAAGCCGCATTACTTTGAATATACTGTGAATCTAAAAATCTTAAGTACTCGCAGGTTAATTATAAATCCAGAGAAGGCGTACGCAAGATTCGAACCCAGCATCGTGAGCGTATAAATTCAACTTAAAGGTCACCAATTGTCACAAGCGGAATTATCGATGCCGACCGGATTTTTTACATCTAAGAATTTTTCTTTGTGATGCGTTGTATGACAGTTTATCAGACATATTTGACAGTCTGCCCCATATAAGGGCCAACAAATATCATGCACTTATAGAATAGGCACTTAGAGAGATAATGCACTTAGGGATCAGGCACTTAGGGAGAGTTTAGTTCTGACCAGACGGCTTTTTTTTTTAATAGATGCATGTTAGAAATTTGGTAATGTTATCAAAGATTGTAGTTATTCTATTACTACAAAGCACAGTAAAAGCAACAGCAATCTGAACTAAAACCCGAGTTGTTCATTTCTCTTTCGTTTTGCCCTGTATTTGGAACTTTGCAAATGTACCACTGAAAACCAGACTACGTGTATTCTTGTTAGACTTACGTAAGTTACGCAAGGGAAAATGCAGGTTTGGGTGCAGAGTCCGGGTACGGAGAAGCAGTCGAATAGACCAGCTTTCCACCTTCTTGCGACAACAGCTTGAGTTTGTCCTTGAGGTACGCTCATCCGGGCTGTTGTGCATACGAGGTCATGTTATAAAAGTTGACGTGGAGGTTTTCGTTACTACAGTATGTTACAAATTATATACAAAACAGCACCAGCTACATGTGTCTCAACAACAAACAGACAGCAAAGTTCAATATATCCGATCTACAGCTTTTTCGAGATTTGAATTGACATAATCAGTAATTGTTGTTTCAAGACTTTTTTTTGGAAATGTGGGTCGAAGTACTAAACAAGTTCTCTAAATGTGCAAAGCAGCTTTGTAAACAACCATTTTATTTAAGTAGGAGTGATCCAACGCTTTGATAAAATATCTAATTGGCGTTAGAATGGATGTCAAACAGTGAGATTGAAGTAAACTCTTTCAAATCAAAGTATACAACTCATTTGCCCATATGCAATCCACACCTTAAATCTTCTCAGTGGCGGAAGACCCAAACTTTTGTGTAAGACCCTTTATAAATTCGGCACATCTGACTGATTTGTGGAGCGTTCGGTCTCATCATGCTTCGCCTTTCTTAGTTAGGATACTTAACGATTTCGTATAAGACGTGCCAGTTGGGAGCGTTCGATACGACAATGCATGTCCTTCTCGATGAATCTGGGCCTTATATTTTTTCGATAGAATGGATATTGGGATAGACTCGTCGGACTTCTTCTATTACTTCTTGAACCTGCTGAGGGGTGGCTACTAGCACAAGTATAGGAGGGAGCAGTTAGTTTAATGATGATGTTACAGTATCAGAAGATAATATTTGTCTTCAGTCATACCTTTGATATATGATACGTTAGCAGGAAAGCGTCTCACTGTAATGGTAAACACAACAAAGAGACTACTTATTTGCTATCGTTTCATGGTAACTGCAGATGCTTTACGGGCTCAAAACAGTGACTGAGGCTGCAACCACCCAAGGTGGAGGTGAAGAAGGCTAAAGCGAGGATATTGAGAGAGCCACATCATACAGTGCCGTCATGTCATGTCTGAGTTTCACGGGTTGCAATCTCCTATTTTTTTTTTATACGAAAATCGATGGTGGGACAACGTTGTCAATTAACAAAATACTGGGCACATTTGTTAGAAGGTGATTATGCACATATTAATATGCATGGAATATCAAAGCATTTGATTTTATTTGGACGTTCATCTAGTTATAGCAAAAATTTACGAGTTTCGCAAATTTAACGTATATATAATATGCTTAATATAACGTATGGAATAGAAAAATAAGCGCTTTATTGGTCAGTAACAGCACAGTAAGTAAATTAGGGACATATCTCGTAACTACCATGCAGTCGATGGCAAGTCCATTACCGGAGAAAAGCTTCAGGGTGTAGAGTGTTCCATTTAATCGTTGAGAACTTTTCTTATTCTTTGTTTCACCCATAACTTGACAGACTACTGACAGTAGATAGTCGTGCATTTGACTCGAGGACAATACGTTATCTAGGATTAACGACGCGACGCTGAGGTTTTCGTAAGTGAAAGCCTTGAGATTACAAAATCACTAACTGTGAAAAGATTTGACTATTAGCCACACTCCGTTGAATGTGAAGATAGCTAAATCCCAAGTGTCGATTACTAACCGCTCTCCCGCAGTAGTCGGCACGACACTACTGTACTTTGTACCAGATATAGCCCATCAATCAAATAATAAATGAAAAAATGCGTCTCATGAAAGTATCATAAAGCGTTGCCTTGACAGAACAATGAGAGATAATCCTGTATTCAGGAAAGATATGGCAATAAAGTATACGTGATACGTACGTATAATAGCAAATCATACAGTAACAGTCACTGAGGTCTGATTATAATGTCCAGTATGACTATGACGGTTATGTATATGCTTATCATTTAAAAACTACACAAATATAGACCCCAAATAAATTGTGAATTGCTTTAGTATTCATATTGAAGCAATGGGAAAGATAAAAGAATATAATATTACTGCTGTATTAAAAGCCAAGGGTGGCTATACGAAATATTAAATAAAAGGTTTATTTTCATATTTTTAATGTAAGTTACAAAACCAGCACAATGCACTAATAAAGTTTAAAAAATCATAACTATTGA